GCACCGCAACCCTGGAGTCGGATTCGACTGGCTTTCGAGCAAGGGAACCTTTACCTTTACCTTTATAATGTCTGATGTCATCTGATTTTGTACCTCTGTGATTTCCTCTCCGAAGCATTCCCAAAACTCTCCCAAGGCTTCCAGAACAGCAGTTGTAATTTTTTCTGTCGATTGGCTTTTTAAGCAGTCCCAATAGTTGTCTGAGAACATCACTATATTTCCATCTGTCAAGCAATCTCTCTCCTCAAATGCAGCCAACAAAGCCATCTCGCTCTTCAGCAGACACAGCAGAACAACATTCACTGTGTAACTACGCAGGCAAAGAAACTACAGCCCGCCGCCATTTTAGCTCCACCAGAGCCTGTTTCCCTTTCCATAATTCCAACAAAGTTCTTTAAGCGAGAAATAAGTCTCTGTAACAATATTTCCCAGATAGCAGATAGAAGATTTCAAAGTGCTATTTTGCCCCTTTGTGTTTGATGCAGTAACATTCCCGATACTCTGCCTTGCCGCCCACCGTGGGAGTCTTCCCCCTCCCTTTGCCTCTGGGAGAGATTTATAGGGGCAATCAAGTATCCTTTTCCGAGTTTGACAAGTATAAATAGAAGAAAGGTTATTCACAGGGTCTTCGCCAGAATGATTTGTGGCGAGGTGTGGAGGCTATTTGGGGTTTGATGTAGCTTTCCAGCCGCGAACTCCCACAGCTGGTCCTTCGGAGCTTCTGCTTCAAGACGAACTGAAACCTTCACTCGCTGTTTGTGCCCCAGTGGGGGGGGGGGGGAGGCTCAGTTTAAGTCTTCTGCTTCCAGTTCCTACTCCCGAGGATCTGGTGGACCCTTGTCAAATGTGGAGGAGTCCAGAAATGTCAAGAAAGCCCCCTAAAAAGACTCCAAAAGCTGGTGAGACCCAGAGCGACCTGGGTACCCAACCAGTTCCCTACCCCATTGCCCCGCCTCTCCTCAGTTTCTAGACACTCTCAATGACTGCGCTATGGAACAGATGGTCACAGAACCTACCAGGGGACAGGAGATCCTGGATTTGGTCCTAAGTAACACCCAAGACCTGGTGAGAGATGTAAAAGTGATTGTACCGCTTGGGAACAGTGATTTTAATGTTATTGAGTTCAACATTTGTATAAATAGGGAGTTGCCCAAAAAGGCTGACACAACTACTTTTAACTTTAAAAGGGGTAACTTCTCTGAAATGAGGGGACATGTGAGGAAGAAACTGAAAGGAAAAGTAGAAAGGGTCAAAACCATTGGGGAAGCTTGGAGGCTATTTAAAACTACAATCCTAGAAGCTCAGAAAAAATATATACCGCAGGTTAGGAAAGGCACAAATAGGTATAGAAAAAAGCCTGCATGGTTAACAAACAGAGTAATGGAAGCTGTCAAAGG